ATTTTTTAGTTGTTTTATTATGTACCGTTGGATATTCATAAGGGTCAAACTGATGTAAAATTGCAGGTACGAATTGCTATTCTATCCAAGATATCATCTTGATCAGAGCTCGCTACTTTGTCGAAAACCATTGCTGGCTAAACCAATGGTGATGGATGTCTATCAAGAGTATATACTTGTCACATATCGCCCATTTGATGTACACATATTCCATGTCAAGTTATTTGGTGAATTGACACCTTTCACTACTCCAAATTTACAGGTAATGGAATGTTTGCTAGCTTTTTTTGTAATAATTCTAACTTTATAGAATATGGTAGTATTTACAGATAGTTGAGCACTTGTGATTTCATTTGCACACTAAATGAGAATAATTTAGTGAAAATTATTCTTCATGTGTTTTAAGTGATAAAATGACAAACAGCTTTCTACAGTACGAGAACTCTCAATTATGACTGCAAAGAGCCATCCTGCAGCAATGCGTTTTGTACGTGATCAGCTTCCAAGAGAGGGCATTTCAAACAATCACATTTCTAATTCAGATCCTTTATCAAAGGAGCCTGCGAGGTATGTGCTCTCCAAAATGTAGTCTGTAGAGATCTATCAGCAGACACATGCCTCTGAATGAATGCATGTTTTTCTAGGTGTTTGATACAGAGGGTTAATGGGGAGCTTTCACTTCTTGATTTGGATGATAGACATGAGAGGAAGCTTACTGATTCTATTTAATTATTTTGGGTTACATGTGGTCAATCAGAGGAGAAAACAAATCTTATTGACGAAGTTTCATGGTTAGATTACGGCCACCAAGGAATGCAGGTAATGGACTGTTGAGGTTTCATAGTATAACTTTGATATGATATTGTGTATAGCTTTACCATTTTGTGCTCTAAGCACAGTAGTTTGTACTATGATATTTATTCTGGTTGGAAGTGTATTTTTACAGGTTTGGTATCCATCTCTGGGGGTTGACCCTTTTAAGCAGGAGGATTTCTTACAGGTATGTATGCATTCAAGAAACAGTGTGTTTCTCATTGAGCAGATGGTGCAAATTATTATGTTTCATTAAAGTTGTATGCTTATATTCTTTTTCTGGGAGGTTCTGTATATTGTGTCTTTACACGCCGTTACAATGTCTGTTTGTATGGCCTACTTTGAAGACTTTTATATTTGATAACTTGTCTTCCTTTAAAGCTTAGTGAAACTTGATATATTTTGGCCTGTCTTTTTACTCTGATTGGTTATATGACTCAGCATAATTTTGTAGTTGGATCCAGAACTTGAATTTGATCGTGAGGTATATCCTCTGGGACTTCTTCCAAATGCTGGTGTTGTTGGCGTTTCCCAGAGAATGTCATTTTCTGCCGGCAAAGAATTTCCGTGTTTTGAGCCAACTCCTCAAGCTCAAATTATACTGCATTGCCTTCTGAGGCACCTTATTCAGGTACTAATTGTTTTTTATTTCTTTGATTTCGAGTGGAAGGTGCTTATCATATTGGATCTCATCTTACAGAGGTTACCTTGAGTTCTGGACTCACAGGCTACTAGCCTCTGCCATGATTTTCTTGTGTAGTAAAAGGTGGCTTGAATCTGATTTGTTTTATTGTGTAATATATGCATCTGCAAATCATAATCTGCAAATAGGTATTAAAGGGTGTGTGATCTATGCTTGCTTTGCAATACTGATCATGTGTTAACAAGGTAGGCAATTGGGTAGACTTTATGATATCTACATGGTCTTTGCCATGATTTTCTTGTGTAGTAAAAGGTGGCTTGAATCTGATTTGTTTTATTGTGTAATATATGCATCTGCAATCATAATCTGCAAATAGGTTGTAATGGGTGTGCGATCTTTGCTTGCTTTGCAATACTGATCATGTGTTAACAAACTAGGCAATTGGGTAGACTTTATGAAATCTACATGATCCGTACATGGTCAGTGCCTAGAGACTTGTAGTTATATCAAGTTTAAAGGCCATAGGAGAATTGGAGTTGTATGTTTGCTACATGATCAGTACCAATGAAATATTCTTTTGACAAGCTTGAGTGTGATACATATAGTCCTGTGCTTGGTTTTGAAAATTTCTTCCTCGTTGTTTTGTTTCTGTCTGCTAGAGGGACAAAAGTGAGAAAGCTTTAAGGTTGGCCCAGTTATCAGCAGAAAAGCCTCATTTTTCTCATTGTCTGGATTGGCTTCTCTTTACTGTGTTTGATGCAGATACATCCGGGTATGTCTAATGAGGGAAATAAATTAGTATCTGTTATGTTTTGGATGTGAAAATATCCAGGAATGCCTAATTAGGGAAAACAAAATCATAGCTGCATTGAACTTGATAAACTGAGATGATTGACAATTGAGAAATGAATTGTTCTAGGTGTTTTAGTGAATTCGGGTACTTGGGTGTTCCCCCTGGTGTCCTGTACTAATCTAATATCATAATCAAGATAAACTCTGCGTTCCTTTTGCAATTTGTTCATCATTTCTTTGCGTATGATCACATTCTGAAGTTCAAATTCCACTCTAAATTGTCATTAGTCAATTCTACTTTTATATGTAATTATTCCGTCTATATGTTAATCACTGTGTATGCCTATTTCCAGGCAAAATGTAAACAAGAATCAGAACTCTGTCCCTAGATTTGCAAAGAGTCCAACACTCTTAGAGAAGACCTGTGATTTGCTCAGAAAATTTCCAGAATATTTTGATGTGGTCGTCAGTGTCGCAAGAAAAACTGATGTCAACATTGGGCGGATTTGTTCTCTGCTGCTGGGAGATCAACAGAGTACTTTTTCTTTGCTCCTCTTGTTATATTCTTTTCTTTTCTTTTGCCTTTTGATTTGAAATAACATTGCTTTTCATTTGCTGTGTATAAAACAAATATACCTAGAACTTCTGTAACAAGGATACTGATGCAATACAGAAGTCTTGTATCATTGTCATGCATGAAAGTGAAATTTCAGTAATGAAAGTCAACTTCATATTTGAAATGTCCTTTATCTGATGTCTATTTCAGAGACCATGGATGCTGTTTTTAATTTTTTTCCTTTAGAAAAGGAAAACCTCCACAAATTACAGAACCCTGGAAAATGAATTTGATTTAAGGATCTTTGAACTTTCTTTGGATAGGTTTATACCATCATAATTACCAACTGCTGACCTACTGCCTCACAAACATTCAGTGGTTGCTACTTCATATGATCCACTTGATATATAATTGGCTAACTGACCTGTAATTAAATTTTTACATTTTAATGTTTTATTCAGTGTGCTGCTGTCAGATTTTAAATTAACAATGTTTTCTGCTTTCAATTTTCAGGTTGTTTGAGGAATGCTTCCAACGTAGATGGTACCGGACTGCTGCCTGCTATATACTTGTAAGATATTGAACAGATTATTATTCTGCTTCAGTTTCTTATCTTTTCCTTTCACTTTTGACGTAAGTTTTTTCCTTAGAAAGATTAATTAGAACTTTCCTCGGTATAATTACGAGTCTTGCACAGTTTTTGTTGTGACTGAAAATGCGGTTTAAATGAAACAACCAGTGCTTTATCACTTCTGCATTTGCCTCTCTGTTCCAGGGTAGAAAATCTTGAAACTTACATGTTGTCTGACCAGGCATTTATTTTGTGAAATTTGCACAGGTTCTATTCGATCTCTTCCAGCACGACATGCAGTTGTGGAAAGCATATAGCATCACCCTGCAGGTATTTATTGCTTTAAGCAGTGTCCACATTCGACCAAAAAACCAGCGTCCACATTCCTTTACTTCGTGTGTCTCTAGATTAATGTTGTCCTCTATTGATATATGCTTTTCAGTCACATCCTGCATTTACTGAATCCCATGATCTACTGGGAGATTTGGACGAGACTTTCATCCACTGAAACTTTTGAAGAGAAATGAGGTTATAGTTGGACCTGTAAATCCTGTATCCTGCTTGGCAACAAATGGTGCTCGTTCAGTCGTTTTTCCATGAACATTTCTGTTTGCGAAATAATGAATGTCCGTCGGATCATGTAAAGATCAACAAGCAACTGACTCACACTGCTGAAAAGGGAACTGAGGCAACATCGAAGGTCTACTCAGATACAATTTTTTATTTATTACATTAAACAAATTACGGGGAATTTGATATTCTTGTAGAGAGCTGGGAACTTATGCTCAGCCTTTTGTTCTCTTCACTTGTCACATTTTTTATAATTACTTTTCAGGTAGTATTATAAAGGCTGTTTGTACGAGCTACATGACCAGTTTTTTTGCATATTTAAGCAGATTCGTTTCCTCTCAAAATTTTGCACTGTTTCGAATAAGTGATGCAAAATATTTAGTAGTTGAAAATATTGAAGGGAATGTTGGCCTTTTTCTCCTTTATACAAAGTGACATTGGGAAGGGAGGAATCGAACCCAGAAAACTAGGGAAGGGGAACGCTAGACCACTGGTGTGGATGTGAATGACCTCTCCCGGTTATCGTTTGAGCTACAAGTTTGTTGCATAAAAGTTGATTGAAGTCATTTAGGAAGGCGATATTAGAGATGGGGAATCAAACAAAGGATCTCTGGTTTGGAGGTAAATACTGAACTCTTAAATTAAACTACCCTTAATCACTTGAGCTATAAGCTCTATGAGTAAAAAGAATTCACAAATTGAAGTAGCCAAGAAATTTAGTGGAAGAATATGAAGGATTTTTTTTTTTTCAAAAAAAAAAAACAATGAAGCCTTTTATATTAACTATTGAGCGTGAATATTGTTCAACCATCTTTCCTTGGCTCTTGATTCTCGAAAAGTTTCGCCCATTTAAACTATATTCTGGGGCATTATCTGTGAAACTAGATGTCTCATAGGTATTTTAAACTAGTACAAGATTTTGTTGTTTGATACAAGCGATGGTGGGGGAGAAGAAATCGAACATAAAATCTCAAGTGGAAGGATAAATTCTCTTAATCACTTGCACTATAAGGCTCTTGCAGATTTAAGATATCCTCAATTTGCAGTTAATTTAATCAGGGTTGAGTTTTATGTGTCAAATGCTGTACATGTTGTGGAAGTTGTGACTTTCTATTCTTTAACATTCAAAAGATATACCTCAAGCAAGGAAGAAAGAGCCCAATACAAAACCAGAACATTTTTTATTGCTATACTGCCACTTTACACATTAATGATCACAGTAGTGAAATCTCAGAAAATTAAAAGAACATGTGAAACAACCCCACCCCACCATACAAAGTTTACCTATACTTTTATTGTATGCATAGATGATTTGAGTCGATCACCAGCTAAAACTAATGGACTCAAAATGCAGATTTTCTGCCAAACCCGACGAACAAATGGTTGCAACTTCATGCCTCATTTTCTTCGGACCACTCGCAAGAACTCCAATACTTGATCCTTGCACTCAAATATCACCTCTGCAAAACCAAAACTTAAAATAGTTAAACTAAAGTAGATGTGAGTTAGGTCAGTTGGTCAGGTAGTGTGCTTGTCCTTTGTGCATCAAAGTTCGAGTCCCCTTCTCTGTAAATTAAACTAGGTCGTAATATCGTCTTGTAAAAAAAAAAAAAAAGGTTAATTTGCTTTTAAGTATGCAAGTGTGACAATCTGATGACTTACTCTTGAGGTCTGGTCTTTCACCATAGTGCACATTTGTTGCTTGTGCAAGAGACTGTTGGGGAAGGCTTTCCAACTCTCTATCAGCATTGTAATACAGTGACTGTGGTGTCCCCATTGGAGATGGCCCTTCCATGTTCTGAATCTGCTTATTTTCCATAGCGTTCTTTTTCTTGTTCCATAAAACTGCTCCACTAGCTGTTGAGGCTATGGAAACACATATCACCAATATGTTAAGCACAGCTCTTAGAGAATACGAAAATATCGTGTTCGAATTGTGATCAATAGGGTAAATGTAGTAGCGCGTAATGATCCCGATCAAGACAAGGAATACGACGAAGGAAGATGAGATTATGAGGGCAAGCCAGAGCCAGTGGTTTGTGCCCAAAATTGGTGATACCGGTGCATCATTTGCATTTGGTTTGAACCATATGGATCTAACAGGCTTCGACCCATCTGTTTTTGGTTCTGTCTCTCTTGTCACGTAAGCCTCGATTTGGAGATTCAGGTTGGACAAGTCGATTGAGGTGCTGGACATTGGAAGAGTTAGGTCTAGCATGGTGAGGTCCATAGAGTTTTTAAATGCACAGATTAAGACCACTTTCGGAACTTTGCAGCTGAATGATGTGCTCAGCAGGAGGAGCTCTCGGATTATGGAGATGAATGGGGTAATTCCGCTGCCTCCACTCACCATTACAAGGGTGTCATGCCTACAAAAAGATATCACCCATTAATGTTTGTTACATTAAGGTACTAAGGTTAGATTAATTTATTAAATACTAATTCTGGTAAAGATGGACACTTGAAACTTTAAAAAGTGATTAAGTTGAGAATAGTATACATCGTATTAATACTAATAAGGGAACTATTTGTTTCGTTATGGTGCAAACCTTAGAAAATGTGTTGAAGCAGGTCCATAAGGCCCTTCAACAGCGACCTCAATCCGATCGGTTGGTGAAGGGGATGAAAGCATTTGGTATAGCTTCTTGCTCCAACTTCCTTCACCTTTGACGACGATGCTAATCTTTTCTGGTTCCAAGCTACTGTTGGAAGTAACAGTAAAAGGATGCCACTGCATCTTAGAAATACTAGGAACGTTTATGAACATGACGCTTGTTGGATTATATTTCAGCCCTGCCAATATAAAAAACACAAAAACAAAAATCATTAGTTTCTTGTAATAAGTCATAATTAATCATTTTAGGCATACACTGATCATTTTCTCATATTGTCAGTAATTATATATTACGTAATTTTCTTTTAGAGGAATAGTCTAATCTGTTATGCCATAAGACTGTTAATCTGAATCTTACATTCAAATGAAAGTTTTCATTGTTATGTCAGTCTAGAAAGCAATGTATAAGTACTTCCAAAGTGTTACCTGGGGTCTTGGCCAAGTTGAGCTCTAGGGTTTCGCATGGCAAAACACGTGCAAAGTTAATCGCGTGCTTGTTCGGGATTGTAAGAATCTCAGGTAACGATCAACCAAGAAGAGGTAGAAACTGGGGAGCGCAATGCAAGCATAGGCGATGCCAACGTGAAGGATAAAGAAGAACATGAAGAGGATGTAAAGGTAATGAGTGTAGAAGAAGAGCTCAAACATTTTACGTCTAATGCGAGGGATGGCAGTAGCCCAAATGATCAGTCCACAGAGCAAAGCCAGCTCTCCAGCTACATTTGAAACGCCAACCTTATCCCATATTACCATCTGCATTAAAAAAAAAAAAAAAAAAAAACATAACATATCAGTCACAGTCAAGAAGGGAGCATGTATTTAGTGTAACAAAAGAGTACTATAAAAAAAGAAAACGAGAGTGCGAAAATCATTTTCATTTCTCATAAACGTCATGTACTTTCTGTTTTATACATTTTAAACAAAATATAGCTTTAAAGAAAAAGAACCCATTTAGGCCGTTTACAATGGAGTGAATTTTTTTTTATTATGTTTCTAATTTAGTCGGAAAGCATAGAAGTGATATTAATTATTGAATTCAATATATTAAACTCATGATTTTAATCTCATAAATAAATGATCAACCATTTGAGAGAGTGAAAACGAGAGTAAATGGTCAGACAATTATTAGAGAGAACTCACATTAAACTATGTATCGTGGAAGGTCCTTACATAATTATAGGGTACCAAGTCAATTCTGTTTTTTTTTTTTTAAATGCATCAAAAAGCTGTGTTATCAGTTCGCTCTCTTGAATTATTTCTCACGAAAATGGGTCCAACTGTCCCACTTTGTGACAAATACAATACTCCAATTTAAGATCTCTTTTTGTTGTTTAGTTGTTTGTTTTCTAGTTTTCTGAAATCTTTTTCCAGAATAATATATGTTTTTATATGCATGAAAAACAAACCTGCATGGCTATATATCTAGTTCCCAATCAATCAACTCGAAAGTTTTCATTTGAAATTTCTCTTAGATTTCCACACAACATTAAATATTCAAATCAACTGAATAAAAATAGTTGACTAGTTACCTGGGAAATTTGTTCAGTAGCAGCCCAGTAAATAATGTAACAAAGGCCATGAGCAGTGAAGAATGCCAGGACTATGTGTCCAAGCCAGATATGGTACTTGATGCTACCTTCAGAGGTGAGACCAAACAGTGCCAGAACCGAAGAGCCACGTGCCACAGGAAAGAAGAGAAATGCAAGGCATATGTTCCCCACAAGCCCTAGCACCAATGCTGCACTATCCAATTTAGATTCCCATCTGCCATAATTATCAGACACAAAATTGATTAATCCTAATTACTTGTGCTATTTTATTTAGTCAATCTCAAATTTTATCCCAATTCAATTTGAAAAATGATTTTCGTACTTTTTTTTTCTTTTGTATTTTTTTTATTTTTAGTTTTTAAATTGAAAAAAAAAAAAACTAAAAACTAAATCAATAGACTAAGGTGTGCAGATCGAGGAGAAAGATATGTGAAAATCGTTTTCCAAATCACAGCATGCCCTTCATTTTTAGGGTATTATTAGGAGAATGATCTTACACTTGTTCGTGGTGTTTTGCTGCTGATTGTGTGGTGATGTTCTTAAACTTGTTGTGCAAATATGTTGACAAAGACCACACCAGGAGTGTAACGAAGATCACGAAAAAGGCCAGCTCTATCCCAGAAACAATTCCTAAGGGGCCTTTCACCAGCATAGGTTGTTTCCATACAGCAAACCGATTCTTCTTTGTTCCACTGCTGCTGCTGCTGCTGATAATCGAAATCCAACTAAGAGAAATGTTAATATTATGCTACGTACGCTAATATTCTTTTGTCAAATAAATACTTACGTCGCACCATATGAATCTGAATCTACAATCGAGCAAAAATCAATCTACTGTATCAATATAAACATCACATGCTACCAGATAGTGGCAAAATCCAACAAGAAAGAGACAATACATTATGCGAAGGATATATGTCGAGATGTGGGTTGAGAGTATATATATAAGATCCCAGCTCATTTTCGGAGTTGTGTTCTATTGTCAAATAAGTACTTACGTTGTTAGACTTAAATATGAATCACACTCAAACAAAAATCAACGTATTCTCACTTCACAGTCCAACAACATAAACATCTCATGTTACATGACTATATGGTAAAAAAAAAAAAAAAAAACATTATCCCTAATTCACATATGCCACGCACCTTTTCAGTTCATGGTTATTCAACTTCTTTCCCAGATGAAGATATACACAACCCAACACCGCAATGAACAAAATGGGAAATGTGTACACCAGAATTGTTCCACCTGCATAGCAACATTATATCCAAAAAATAATTAGAAAACCTTCTTATTACAAATTTAACTAAAAGCATTCAAAAAGTTAATCAAGATTAATGGAACCTTCAGCTCCCAAATAGGTACTTGAGCTAGCCTTTAGTCTGATTTGAGGCAGCCAAATTTGCCGATATGTATTGGTAGGCATCATGAGCCAAATTAAAAGAGTCCCCAGAAACACTACAAATATTGCTAGAAGCCTTATTGCTGCCCTCGCAATATGAATTCCTTCATGGGAAGGAGGTGATGAACTTTTCACAACCTGCACTGCATCCATCTCTGCAAATTCTATTAGTGGCTTAATTACGCTTCTGTGTTGTAATTAAGAATGTTAATGGGTTTTTATGTATTTATAGGAGGGAATGAATTATATTGTATAGTAATGGCTATAGAATGTAAGGCTTTGGACTTATGGAAAACAGCATGGTTCATGCCCCTGCAGCTTCCTCCAATGCTAGATTTCTTTACACGAGGCACTTGCATACCAAGTTGGAGGATCATGAAAATAACTGTTTATTTTGTTTTTAATGAAGTCAACCGCACATGCAAGGATCATGCAACATTCCTTGATGATTGATGATAACCATTTATAACTAACAAACAAAGAAAAATATCCTGGAAAAGTTGTAAAGTGTGACGAAATTATTAGTATTGTTCAATATCAATTAACGTACTATAATATGTGTGAATTATAGGTTTTATTCTTGCATGTAATATTAATATGCACTTATTTATATATTATATTATAATTGAATTAGTAAGATAACATGATGATATTGTTATACTTTGTCTCTAATTTAATAATATTAGAGACTACTACCAGTGGTGAATTATCTTGGTGATTATGACATTTTTATTCAACTCAGTATGTCTCCGGTTCAAACACTCCCCTCCTCCTTAATATAGATTATAATTGAATATCGCTTATAATAAAAAGAAATGAGTAAGAGTAAAATTTTAGAAAAAATTATACATAAAATATACTTTTAATACTTAATTTTTTTTGTTAGGACAACACTTTTTAAACATTTCAAAAAGAGACAAATTATTTCACCTGAGAAATGATGTCATAACTTTATAAAGTTGATTTTTTACATTACGATGTTACCCCTTGTGTTTGAACCATCTTTTTATTTTTTGTTAGCTGTCGTGCTTCTCTCTCTTTCTATTTCATCTTCTTGGTACAGTTGTGCTTTTCTCTCTCATGCCCATTACCCAGAATTCAAATCAGAGAGGTGTTCATGATTTTCTTCATCGAAACCGAGGTATTCATGATCTTCTTCATCAAAGCTGCTTCTCAAATCAAGCTTCACTACAACTGTTGTGAAAGGTCATCCTCTGGTGTTTTTGAGGTGCATATATACACCAACTTCCCGGTATGCATGTCTGTCTCCTTCATCAAAATAGACCGTTAAGGCTAGACTAACATCTCTCTCTCTCTCTCTCTCTCTCAATTTGTACTAACATCTGTAAGAAGAGCTTTCAAACAGTGAATGCAAAACTTTTCAGTTACTTGCACAGCTAAATATCTATTTTCTTCTTATGTCTTTATATGAAAACCATTATTTACCTTTTTTCTCTCACCTTCCCAATTTAAATCCGTAGAAGCAACCAAACCTTATAATTTCTCCAACCACACACACAATCCAACCCCACACACAAACACACACACCCCCACCCCCATCCCCACCCTATTGAGACTACTATAATCAAACTTTTACACATGCATGCATGCATCAATGCACCCACTGTTCCATATCATACAAAACCTACAAACTGATTATACTAAATTATACAAAATGATTCCACTAAAAAGTGTACAAAATTGATTCTACATGTATTTGAAATTGATTTTGCAGAAATGGTCGATGACGGGTTGAACTAATTCTACAAAAATGGTCGAGAACATGTTAAACTGATTCTGCAAAAATAATCGATAACTGATTGAACTGATTCTGCAAAAATGATTGAAGGCAAGTTAAACTAATTCTACAAAAATGGTCAATGACTAATTGAATTGATTCTACAAAAAATGGTAGAGGATGGGTTGAACTGATTCTGCAAATAGATTGAGGAAATGTTGAATTGGTTCTGCAAAAATTATCGAGGACTAGTTGAACTAATTATGCAAAAATGGTTAAAGACGGTTAAACTGATTCTGCAAAAATGGTCGATGATGGGTTGAACTGATTCTTCAAAACTGGTCGAGGACTAGTTGAACTACTTATGCAAAAATGGTTAAGGACGGTTAAACTGATTCTGCAAAAATGGTACAGGACGGGTTGAACTGATTCTTCAAAAATGGTCGAGGACGGGTTGAACTGATTATGTAAAAATGGTTGAAGACTAATTATATTGCTTCTGCAAACATGGTCGAGGACAGGTTGAATTGATTCTACAAAAATAATCAAGGACGGGTTGAACTGGTTCTGCAAAAATGGTCAAGTATGAGTTGAACTAATTTTACAAAAATCGTCGAGGACGGGTTGAACTGATTCTAGTAATAAAGGATACAAACTGATTCTACATATAATTTTAAAACTGATTCTGCAGAAATAATTGATAACAAGTTGAGCTTATGGTATATATTAATTTTGTTGGAGTTGCGAAGGTTGAGTTTTATTAACAGCCCTAAAGTCTTAGGGGTATAGCTGGTATTTTAAATGTTATTTCTATGTTTTTTGGTTGGGTTTTAGTTGTTTTTATGTTATGGTCTCTCCTTGACATATTTAAAAACTAATGGAGTTCTTTGAAATATAGTGAAAGTTTTTGTCTTTATATATGAAGCTCCCAAAATTTTAAACCAAATTTGAAAACCAAATGATGTGATTATTTATGATTGAATTATTATCTAAATGTTATTAATATGCATATTTCTATTGGTGATACATCATTTGATTTAAAATTTTGATCTATCTAGTATTACCCAAAAGAAAAATTGGAGAGTCTAATTTAAAAGTTAAATTATTAGGGACTCTTATTTTGGTCCTACTTAAATAAACCATTGTTTTTTTTCTTAGGATGGAAAAATAAAAGGGCAGTTATAAAAACAAATTTGAAAAGATTATTATTATTTTTTAATAAGGGAATTGTTATCGGCGTTCTAAAAATCTTATTTTGCACTCCAAACTTTCTATACTTAAAGAAAAGAGAAATTTTATTTGAACACATGTAACCTCTTTCTACACCTAACTTAAACTTTAAATACGAATTGTCTTTTTTACTCTATTGTATAATTATCATCAAGTACAAAATGAAATTAATAATAAAACTAAAATTTATCAATAAACTCATACTCAATCATTAAACATTTACCATAAAGCAATCATTTTCGAACGTTCTATTTTGCTAACGCCTAAGACGAGAGCAAGCTCTTTTTTACGAATGGATGGTAACTTTGAAGTTTTGGATTCTTCAACCAAGTTTTGAATTGAAGCCTAGTGGGCCAAATAGGTAGTTTTATCATGCCCTATATGCTATTGTAAATTTGCTTGTCTAAAGCTGCAGGTCGTTCTATATATAAACGAATGAACTCATTTCAACTAAGAGCTGGTTATGGTTAGCAAAAAAATGTGAAGTAAATGGATGGTTTCATTATGGATGATTCAATCTAGTAGCCTTTGTTTACAGTGATAACAGTTGGACTTGCCAGCTTAGATTAGCTAAATAGGCTATTGGCAGTTATGCTAGTCAGGTTTCTCAAGTTTTTCTGTTTTCTGCACTCTATGTGTTTGTGAAAATGCTTCAAGATTATTTGCTTTGGGTTTGTTGATTTTTGTGTGAAAGAAAACAATGCCGATGCCATCTTCCTACATTCTTGATTTGGGATATAAGGCCAAAGCCATTATCTCGGTGTAAGTTTCCTCCACAAGGCCAATAGCCGGAGTGAAAAGTGTTGTCTCAAATATTGTGTGTTACTCCTTAAAGGCCGATAGCCGGAGTAAAGTTCTTGGAAAGTATTGTTTGTTGTTATTGTGTGCAAATTCATTAAGGTCAATTGCCGGAGTGTAGTTCTTGTTGAAATCTTGATAACTAATTCTTGTATTTCTTGTATTTCTTGTATTTCTGTCAAGATGGCTGAATCGGATGTTAAGGTTTGTTAGGGATGTTGACAGTAAAACTGCAAGACGATAATTTTGTTAAATGGCGTTATCAATTTTCATCTGTGTTGAGGGGGTATGATTTGTTTGATTTCTTCACTGGAGAATCACCATGTCCACCTAAGTATGTGCTTGATACATAATTGGGGGTCACAAATGAAATTACTGCTGCTTACAAAAGTTGGGTGAAAAAGGATTTAGCTTTGTTAAGTTTGTTAATTGAAACTCTTTTGGATGATGCTATGGAACATGTGCTTGGATGTAAGACATCTCATGAAGCTTGGAAATGTTTGCAAGAAAGATTTGCCTCTATCTCAATGGTTCGCGTGAATCAACTCAAAACTGAATTGCACACTGCTCAAAAAGGTGGTGAATCTGTTGATAAATTCTTAATGTGACTAAGGGTATAAGAGATCAATTGGTATCTGCAAGTGAGAAGGTTATTGATAATGATTTGATTATTGCTGTGCTATCTGGTTTGCCTGCTAATTTTGAGATGATTAAAACTGTCATATTGGCAAAAGACTCACTTATGTCTCTAAAAGATTTTTTAGTACAATTGCATGTAGCTGAAGAAAACATTAAATCAAGAATGCACTCTTTATCCAATTCTATGTCTACAATGGTTGTTCAAGGAGAAGGGTTAAATTTACAAGATTTTCAAGGGTATGAACATGGTGAGAGTTCTAGTTCTCAGAGATCTCAGGCAAGTCTCAGTAATGATCAATGTAGGACTAATTTTCAAGGAGGAAATGGTTTTTCAGGAGTTAGAAATGGCACTGACAGTAAAGATTTTCAGTCTTCACAGAGAGGAAGCTTTAATAATAGAAGGTTTGGAGGTGGGAATGACAATTCCAGCTTTTCATCAGGGTTTAATAACAGAAATGGGAATAATGGTTACTCTGGAAGTGGTAAAAGTGTTGCAGGACATGAATCTGTGTGTAATGGGTTTAGCTCAAATAACTCATCTACTGGACAAGGCACACATAAGTTAAATTGGAATGGTAATACGAATTATAAGTACTCAGTATCACCTGAATGTCAAATGGGAATGGTAATACCAATTCTAAGTACTGAGAATGAAGGTTCATAGTCTTTTGATTTCTTGGTCTATCAGATATGTGGAAAGAGAGGGCACATAACTCTTGAATGCTTTCACAGGAACAACTTTGCATATCAGGGATATCCTCCCCCACCACTATCAATTGCAGCAATGACAGCTCAAGCTAATGTAACTCAAACTGGAGGTTCTGGTGTTGGTTTTACTGCAAAAGAAAATTGGATCTTGGATTCAGGTATAACTCATCACATGACTACAAATTTAAATCATCTCAATCATATTACTCCATATCATGGTGATAGAACAATTACTATTGGGAATGGTACTGGTTTAGCAGTGACACACATTGGTTCCACAAGCATTCCCACATCAAATACCTCGTTGGTTTTAAGAAATGTGCTTTGTGTACCTAAAATCACTGTGAATTTACTTTCTGTTAAGAAATTATGCAGAGATAATGGATGTTGGTTTATATATGATTATCTTATCTTCTTCATACAGGATAAAGCAACAAGGAAGATACTGTACCAAGGAAAAAGTGATGGCGGGGAGCTGTTTACAATACCAGTGAATGTATTTGCAAAGTTGGAGC